ACATTTTTCTTAAACAACAATGGATACAATTTAACGTAAAAGCACATAATTGGTGTAAATGTCAATTTGTCGGCCTCCTTTCTCTACCCACAATACTCTGTGATAACTCCGTAAAAAGGTCATATTTGAGACCTTTTCACTTAAGTTATTGGATGTTTAAGAGCCTATTTAGGGTCATATAGATGCATTTAGGAGCATATAGTTATATGTGGTGGAATTCTGTTTAGCGTGACATTTTATTTTGTAATCAGTTCTACTTTATGGAGAAGGTGTTTGTTTGGTGATGTGCAGGATTTGGGAGTAAAGGAAATGACGTGACATAAGGAGACTGCTGAGCAGAATGCAAATGAAGAACTAGTTGGCATTTTAAGTGTGATCAAAATGAAAGAAGATATTTTTAAAGCCAGTTATCCCTATCGTCACGTGATCTCTACACGTGAGGAGACACCTGCCTGGAGGGGACCAGCGCTGTTTCAGTTGATCCTGCTGGACACGCCCTGCTATGCTGCTCCTATCGAACCTCTACCTACTGCAGCATGATCTTGTCATGTACTCAGCGAACCACCCAGGCTGGACAATTGCCAACTGCCCAGGGGACCACTGCCAACTCTACCCACCCTCACATGAATAAAGCATGATTTGGGGTATCCTAGGAATTTCAACACAAATTCCTAGGGTAATTTTCCCCTTATAAATAGAGGATGAAGCCACAATGGAGAGAAGACTTTACACACACCGCCAAGAGAAAAATTCAGAGAAAAAGTTCTCCACTAATCCTATTTTCCGTGGTATTCTTCCATTGACAAGCTAGAGGGAGTGGCGTTCTAGACGTCCGAGAGGAGCTAGTTCGCTGGGACTGTCCATGGTGGTTGAGGGAAGCTCCGACAGTGCACGTCGAAGGCTTTTCCTCCTTCCCTTTGCTCTTTGCTTTCATATTTTATCATTTGGGTTATAAGGAACGTATTAACTTGCTTTATGCTTGCTTATTTTGAACACCACCATGAACTAATCATATTTGGTGGGAGTTTATTTTGGATATTTAAGATTTTCTTTAATGAATTGTTGTTTTTCTATGTTATTATTTATTTTGTTTATGAAGCTTAGTGCCTTAAGGTTGTAAGAGCTATGAGAGTAGCCATTCCTTAGGATATTACTTAGTGTTTGAGAGAATGTCTAGGTAGCACATCCTTAGTGTTCGAGAGAAACTAGGGAGGAACCATATAAGCAAGGGGTTATAGATAGTAACTAGGCCTAATCCACCTTAGATATAAGGATAGAATTTCATTCGACTAAAAGGAGTTGTGCATGAGTGATAGGTTAGATGTTAATGCTGCCGCAAAAAGGTATTGCCAAGACATATCCTGTTATCTGGACCAATAGGATCATTACAGGGGCTAACGCCAATCGGTTTTGCCAAGGCATCTTTAATCTGTCGAGTCCCTTAACTAGAGATAGCATAGGCACCCTTAGTAGACTCTGTCGGGCAGATAAGGCATAGAAGTAAGACCATTTTGAAAAGTATACTTAGATTTTCCTAAGTGACTCCTATCACTCATTCCCATAATAGCTTGTCTTGTGAGGAAGTTAAAGTCCTAGTAATCAAATCCTATATTTATATTTTATTTTTCCTTTGCATTTTCATTTGTTTGCACTCAATACAATATAATTTGCCACGACAATTTCATACACTTTGCCACGACATCTCTATCTGCTACCATATTACCATTATTTCATTTCCACAATAGCCATTTCATCTTGCCACAACATTATCATTTGTACATACCATCACTAACTTTACTTAGGTGACATAGTAAAGCACTTTGATTGAACTTATCAATTTCCTCCAATCCCTGTGGAGACGATACTCACTTATCACTATATTACTTGTTCGATTGTGTATACTTGCACATATTTCTGCACCCATATTTAGTACTCACAACCAGTCAGCACTCACCCTTATTGGTATTAGACTTTTTTCCCCGTAGTCCTTGGTTGAGTAATTGTTACATTCTTTGATGTAAACGGTTGTGGGTGTACTTTATTATCTATCTTTTTAACACCCTCTTTTCACAGCCATCAATTTTTCCATTTTTTATAGCTGCTTCTATCAATTCACTTGAGATCACCATATCTGAAAAGTTCTTTGAAGCGCTACTCAATATACGATCTAAAAACGGACCTTTTAGAGTATGAAGGAAGAGAACTGTAGTCTCAATCTCTAATAGTGACGGTTGAACTTGTGTAGCCAAATCTCGCTGCCTCTGGGCTTATTGCCGAAAATTCTTATTAGGTTTCTTTTGTATGTTCATCAGGGCTACCTGATCTGGTATCATATCAGTAATATTCTTGTATTATTCTAGAAATGCTATAGATAAATCTTTCCACGACCTGATATTGGTACAACCTGATATTGGTACGACCTAGTTGTGCATACCACTGAGCTGCAGAACCGATGAGACTGTCTTGAAAAAATGAAAAAGCAATTTCTCATCTTGCAAAAATTTGATCATCTTGCAAAAATTCGATCATCTTGCGACAGTACATGGTAAGGTGAGCATGACAACTGGTTCTATATTACTTTTCAAATTCTAGAGTCTTGAACTTGTGTGGGAGAACTAGATCGGACACCAGGTTGAGCTCTCTAGCATCCACGCCATATTCATCGAAGGATTCCATCTCTTTGACCTTATCCTCGAGCTTCTTATAGTTATCTTCGTATTGTTTAGATAAGTTAGACTTAGCCTTTTCAGCCTCGATAAGTAGATTGAAATCAGGGGGTTTCATTGTTGAGATACTCAATATTGTCATTGAGGTTAGCGAGGTGAATTATTGATGCTCCAGAAGGTTTTCGGATTGATCCCTCACATGATCTGACGAACCATGATCAACCATGTTATAACCTTTGAAGGGACTTTTTCGCTTAGGGTATACTCCAAGTAATGCAGTAATTTGATCTTCATCTCTTTGAGACAAGGCCACTTGGTCCCTCAGGTCATTTTGGATATTCTCCAACAGGTTTTCCAGGCACTTTTGGGCCTCTTCCAATTCTTTCAATTTTTCCTCCATATTTTTTTGGCTCTACCCTAAAGTATTATATGAATAAGAAGTACTTTTACTAGGAACCAAAATATCCTCGAACGAAAATCTTCAATTTATATAAAAAGTTTTAATGAATGAATATGAATATAAACATAAATGAATATTAACCACGAAATGATAAAAATGCAAATTGCATGAATGCAAGAGGTATCTATCTCAAAAAGTCAACTATCATAAAACAACTTCCCAAAATTAAAACAAACGCTCGTACACAATGGTTTCTCTCTAAAAATATGGCATAACCTTTCTTCTCAACTCTACAACCTCATATATCAAGGATAGTACTCTCTTGCTACTATCTGAAATTGGGTCGAAGTAATGCCCCCTATCCTAGCCTGTGCAGTCAACTCTCTCAAGTATCGAGCGACCTCACTCATCTGGATCAGCGCCTTGGTGATGACATGCTCCCTAGCAACATTTTCATCCTCATAGGTATCGACTTCTTTTCGCTCACAGTGGGCATCATTAACAAGGTGCTCTAAGTTAGAGACATGCTCTTGACAATGTTGTAATTCTTCCTCGAGGCTTTGGATTTGACGGCACAACGCGATTCTCTGCTGAAGACTCTCACTGAGAATTGTTGCAAGTCAGACACGTCATTTCTCTTCAAAGAAATCGATGCATGCTTGGCTAAACTGGACGCTGGTCAGCTGGTAAACTGTCCTCTTTCTCTTTTTGTAGAGCCTCATACCACGGGCCTACTTCCTTATTGGGAACCATCTGACAAATGTTTTTATTTTCCATCTACTAAAAGCATTCTACTTCCACAGCTGACTAGATATTCAATACCTCAGCCTATGAATGATTCAATAAGTGCAAATAAAATAAAAGGGAAATGGACGAAAAATAAAGAAAAACATCGATTAGTGTCGTCATAATAATAATTACGTTCATAATATAGTAAAACCTAATCCACATTATTTTCTAGTTCATACGCAATGACATAAAAAAATAAAGGTTTAGAGTTGATTTCTCCCTTGTATACTTATTCGGGTACCTACGGTGAAATTTCGACAGAGTTTCGCATCGGGTAGATCTAAGGTAAATTAAATGCATGGTTTCAGCTCTAAAAGGATAAGGTACTTGAAAATATCCTTGTTGATGCCCCCTTGGACTAGTCAGACCCTCGATCCTCACCCATTACAAGTTTATAGATCAAGTTAAATTTTTACATTGAGCATTTCTCTATGCCTGGCACGAGGAATAAATCCCTACAAAGACATAGGTACTTTAGACCCCGAAAATTACTTACTAGGTTTGTACGAAGAATAAATTCACACGAATGCGTCGCTTTCGCTCTCACTTAATAAATATTGAAAAAGAAATGTCTAATTATTTTAATATCATTCATTTCAATATTAAAAAACAAATATATATTCTATTTTAATCAAATTATGAATTTATTTATTGATTTCTAATTAATTTTATTAAAGAAACTAATCCTAAAAGGATAATTCTAAACTCAATTTATTTCTAATTAGAGAACTTAAACTAAGGCTCTAATTAATGACTAAAGCTAAAACTAAAGAACTAAGGCTTGATTTTAATGTTAGTGATTAAATTAAAAGATTCAAAAATCTAAAGGTTTTATTTTATGGTAAACACATAATCATTTTAAAATAATCAAGAATTAACAATCAATATTAATAATTAAACACATTTGATACAATAATTAAAGCAATTGGAATAATATTGATGATTAAATTCAATTCAATTAAAATTCGGGAAATGAGTTACAGTGATTTGGGACTAAAATAAAAAAAAGTAAAAGACAAATAAAAGACAAATACAAAAGCAAAAACACCAGTATGATAGTGGGTTTTAATGAAGCAATTAGCCCAACAAATTACATACTATAAAAGACATTTTTAAGAAAACTTCATTTTGTCCAAAAAATAATATTCTTCTCCCATTTTCTCTCTAATGGTCGGCCACCTCTCACCTCTTTCTTCAAACTCAACAAGTTCATCACATGTTCATCTTATATTCATTCCAAAAGTCCACTTTGATCCAAAAAAAAAACACCTAAATACCAAAATAACATGTTTATAAAGATCAAACTCATCTTTTTCCTCAAGAACACCACTCAAGTTCTTCACATTTTTCTTTTCTTTATCGAAACTAACACCCAACCAAACCTTTATTTTCGTTTTTCAAGAATAAATCTCCATATCTCACAAACCTCTTCATCTCTTTAGATCAAAATCAAGAACTCCCAAGAACATTTCCAAAACAAAACCTAAAATGTTCTTGATTTTAACCTAAACTAAACCCGATTTCAAAATAAATCACCCAATCTCCAACCATCCTAACTACCAGAAAACCGAAATCATCACCACCCTAAATACTAAAACCTGCCGGCCACCATCTCCGCCACCGCAACCCGAAAACGGCTACGACTATTCGAACCGAGAAAAGAAAGCCATGAAGCAAAGTTCACCTTAACGACAAGTGGCGGCGACGAAATACTGAGGGTAAAAAAATCTTTTCCAACTTTTTCATTCGAAATCTTTGGATTAATGCCTTGATTCTTCCTCTTGATGATGGTGGATGCTTGTTTTTGTTCTCTTTTCCGTTGTGATTAATGGCATTATATAGTAGCTAGATTAGTGAGATTTCATCTCTTCCAGCCTATAAACAGTTATAACTAATTTCTGTTTGAGATTTGCAGTAGAATCTTCGTTTTCTTGTGTTAATATTGGCTCCTTTGATGTTTTTCCAAGTTTGAAATAAAAAACGATGATAACCCGATGATTTTCCGTTCAAAATGGTGGCGACAGTGGCCGGGAAGACGATATTACAGCACGTGTTGTTCACGTGCCTGAGAAACTCTGGTGCCGGTGGGACGCGCTGGTGAAGCTCCAAAGTTCTCCTTTGATGAAGCAATCTTGGCCATTGGATTAAATCTAGATCTAATGGTTGAGATGTATTTGTGCTTCTTCACTTGGATGGATGACGTGGCTTAATGAGAGCCTTTGGATCTAGCTTCCCATCCAAGGGCTCTAAAGAATTTGTGTTTTCTTCTCAAAGATTAATGATGTGGCAAAAATCTAAGCCATTGGATCTGAAGCTCATCCATGGTCCATAATTGCTTGGCTCTCTTCACGAGGATGAATAAGGTGTCATCATTAAGTACACCTAAAAAAGTATCACCACAATTAATACATTGTACCATTAAAAAATCAAAAACAAAAACAAAAACTACCCCCCATACCCACAAAAACCGACTGCTACACATGTAAAATCAGTTTTTTTTTCTTTTTTGTATTTACTTGTATATATTTGTAAAAGGTGTGGGCTATTATTTGGGCCTAAAAAACTATATAAATGGATTATTACTTAATGAAATGGATTATTTATTTGGGTTTTTATTTATTTAAAAAAGAAAATAAAATGGGCTTATATCTAATGCAAAAACTATATAGTATATACTAACTATATAAACTATGTAATATACTAATTATTTAATATCCAATATAATATGCCACACTTATAGTATGTAATTATTTAATATGAAACTATATAATATGCAATGCAACTAATATTTAATATGTACTATTTAACATGCCAATTATTATTTAATATGCAAACTATACTATATGATATATGATATATCTAATATGCTCACACATTTATTATATTATATTATATTATGAAAAATCGTCACATATCACCATCTGGATATAATGGGTGATGACAAGGTGTGAACTTTGTTATGAGTTGTCGACATATATTTTTCCTTCCTTAATTTTATATTATATAATATGTTGAGAGACGTTGTATAAGCATGGACATATGTTGGGTGGGATTGAAATTTTGATTAAAAAATGAAATTGGAAGGATGAGGACTGATTTTGAGAGGAGACAAATTACAGTCATTATTACGTTGTTAGAAACAAGGACCACAATTCCAATTCCATGTGAGAAAAAGACCAAATCATCCCTATTCCCAATCACATTACCGACACTATCACATTCAATCTTAATTAGTTCTCTAACTATCACCGTCTAGTTTTATTAGTTTAGATTAAAAGATTCATATGTTTAGAAAAAGACCAAATTCGTATGGGTGACAAATCACTATCACGGCAACAAATACGTATGGGTGATACATGCAACAAATACGACGGCTTCAGTCCATCCTTGTCTTCTTTCTTGGCTATTATATGTTAGGCCACTCGTTCTACAACGACACACTACTTCAATTAATTGATGGCTAAATTAATTTTAGACTTTAATTTGATGTGAAATTAAGTATAGTCCTTTTTTTAAAATTTATAATTTTAAAATAACAAATAATCACTTTTTTAATAAAAGGAGATATTAATTTACTTAATTAATATTATGAGACATTCGTAAATATAGAAATATACAGCAATAGCTCCACTAATCACTCACTTATCAAACTAATGAAAATGAAATCTTATTAATGCCACAATTTTACATCCCTTAAAGAAACTACATATATCTTATTGTAGATTTTGCTATCTGCTTTTCCTTTCAATTCTTTTGTTCATTTATTCTATAGCAAAATGTACAAATCGTAAAAAAAATATATATATATAGATGTACTAACGGCGTTAAGTAAAAAAAAGGAGATAAACAAACGATATATTTGACGACACGTTTGTTACATCCACCTCTTTCTTCTTGTTTTCTTGATTAGTTTTCAGACACTAACGCTGCATCGCGTGACGATCTGATACTTAACGGCGTTTTGACCGACGGAAACTCCGTTACTTCTGCTACCGAAAGTTATATACGCCGGACACCTAACGTGAAGATGATATCTTCCGGATATAAAAGACCCAACTTTCCATCTCACCCGTCCATCAATCTTGATCACCATGAAAACCGAACCGGCGGCTTGTTCGGTTTTCAGAGCGACTGAGAAATCCGGAGCTATAGGGACCATATTCCCGTATATGAAAGGCGACCAGACATTGACTTCATTATGACCCTGGTATGTCGGAGGGAGCGCTGTCCGAAGAGTGATCTGCTGGTTCCTGTAAGTGGCGTAGGTGACGAGCCTGTCGTAGTAGATCCCGATTCGGTCGTTTGGGTTCCGAGAAGAAACGGTGACTTGGAAGTTGGAGGTGAGGAAATTCTGGGTGGAGGCGTTGAAACCGTAGACGGTGGTGTCTTGGAGGATGAAGCGGGGTTTGGTGGGGCGGAGGACTGCCCAGATGATCAGGATTGTGATGAGAACGATGACGAGGAAAACCAGAAGGCATCGGATGATTCTTCCGATGAGTTTCTGGCGGCCTTTGCCGTGGTTGCCGCAATCCTTGGACGCCATGGTGGTGGGTAGAAAATGCCAGAGAAATGGAAGTTGGTTTTCGAGGAAGAGAGAGAATGAAATGAAGGTGATGAAGAGTTGGGCGTATTTGTATTGTATAATAAAAAGAAATAATGAGAGCTTTTCTCTTTTAGTTGAAGAGTAATGAACCAATAATTGTAGGGGTGTGTAAATTCGGGTACCCGAAAATTGGGTATCCGAAATATTCGGGTTATTGATTTTTTGGTTTGTGTCTTGATCCGGATATTTTAGGTATCTAATTTTTGGGTACTCGGATTTTACAGGTATTCGTATGTCGGGTATTCGGATACTTGATTTTTTTTAAATGTTTTAAAAAATAATTATTTAATTTAATATATAATATTATGTTAGATAAAAAAAATTTCATATATTGAAATGTTCTAAAATAATAGTTGTTTACTTTAATTTAATATATAATAGTTGTTTATTTTAATTTTAGGGACTCTTTTTTATATATAAAATAATATTATATTATTATATATACCCGAATACCCGATGTTACTTTAAAATATTCTAAAAAAAGTTGTTTACTTTAATTTATTATATAATATTATTAATAATTAAATATATAATAATAGTAAATCATAAATCTAAATTTCAAATTTAAAGTTTAAAGTTTTCAAAATGCAAATTAAATAATATTTTAACATCCTACCTTTCTAATTTCAGGAGCCTTTTGGACGTGATCATTGTTAGCCCAATAAGCATAAATGTAGTATTTATAAGTCTGGGAATGAATATTTCAAGAAACAACAGTGCATAAAAGCCTAAAAAAACAACAAGCTAACCGGGTATTCGGGTAATCGGGTACCCGGAAAAATCAATTTTTGTGACTCGGGCCTGACCCGGAAAGTATCGGGTCGGATACCCGACCCGACCGGGTATTTTTTTTAAAAAAAATTACCCGATTTTTTTTATCCGAATTGAGTCAACCGAGTCGGGTAATTTTGCACACCCCTAATAGCTGCTACTATACTGTAGTCTGCAGTGTAGTTAACGGAGTGCGAAGAAAAATACTATTAATCTTTGGAGTGTTTTTAAAGTGAGAAATATTTAATCATATGTAAAACATCTTATATAGTGATGTTATATTTTTTTATTAATTGATAATATGTTGATAGTATATTATCTAATTAGTTAAATTTTTTTAAAATATAATATATTTTAAATTTAAAAATAATTTGAAAAATTATGAAAAATAAATAAAATAAAATATATATATATAATTACATAAATTATGAGGATCCTAAATTTTTAAAAATAATCACTTAAAATTTGTTTGACAAATTCTAAATATAATAATAATACTACCTAGAAGGTAGAAAAAATAAGACTTTAGGGGAAGGGAGGGGAGTGTTTCTAGTGAGTCTAGAATTCATGATATGATATAATATGAGAGAACAAATATGAATATCTTGATCAACCAGTCATATTATAAAATAATTATAAAATAAAAGTCGGATTATATTTCTTACAATTTTAATTAACTGTATATTTTATATAGTTATCAATATTTGATTCATTTATATATTATTTTAGATCGAGTATTGTAAATATACATTATAAGACAACTCTCCAAGATTCAAACCTGACTATTCAAAGAATCTAACACATCATTTTGTTAGTTAATTTAAAGAAAATTACAAAAAGGTTGATTTAGTATGATAAGGTTTTAGATCCCTCAAATAATGTTTATAATTTTAACAAGTTGAATTGATAGTCTTGTCCTTATATTAAGTGTGTACTTTATTAGTTCTGATCAATTAATTAATAAATTAAATAACAGTAATAATAAAAAAATAATAATGATTACAAATGACTAATATTATCACAAGAACAATAATACTTCTTTCCATAATTTTATAATTTTCTTATAAGTATTTAATATTTTTTAAAATTGTTATATTTTTATAATTATATTTAATAAAAGTACTTAAATATAATTTATATAATTATCATTATCTTTAAGGATCAATTTACTTAAGTGAGAAATACAATTTATAATGTGAGATATAGTCTTAGAATAATCTATTAACAAATTCTACAAAAATAAAACTTTACAAAGTAACCCTTAATTGTGCAATGTAAAGTCAAGAAAGGGAAGCTTGCCTTTTGTTAATCCAACTTAGAACAAGAGAGAGAGAGAGAGAGAGAGATTCCATAATGTAATTATAATGTAATTTATTAAGTCATAAATATTAATTATGATGCATTCAAATACTATAACATTTTAAAAACTAAAAAATATGAATAAACCATAAATTTTATATCCAATAAGATAAATTAATTATTTTCTCAAGGAGAATGAAAAAAAAGTGAAAGTTGAAAGTCGTTGAGGAATCAAACCTAGAAAGCTCTAGACTCGATGAAGAAAGCGGAAGGATTTGAATGAAGGAAGAAGATGATGGAGTTATGGAAGATGAAAATAGATGGATAATTATCTTATCAAACCTTCCTAGTCGCAATGAAAACGCAAACTCGATAAATGACTCTAATCAACCCTTCTAATCGCAATGAAAAGGTAAATTAGAGTATGAAGATCTTTCTCACAAAGAACTTGAAAAGAAATGAAAAGAAGCTTTGAAGGCACAAGTAATCAACACTTGCAAAGATAAACTTTCAATGTATTATATTCAAGAAAATATGTGATTACAAAGTTGAATGAATCCTCCTTTATATAGGATATGAGTTCTAAAAGTCTTAAATAGCTAATGAATAAAAATAATAATAAACTAAAAATGTTTCAATTCTAATTCCTAATAAATAATAATAAACCAAGAATAATGTTTTAATACAATTTTAATTCCTAATAAAATAATAAATCTAATTTTAAACGATAATGCATCATCCTATATTAAAATTATATTAAAAATAATCAATAAAAATATTAAATAATCACAATATTTACAAAATCTTGTAATAAACCCATATAGAATTTTTTACATGCGTTGTCTTGACTAAAATGAGTGTATCTTAAGCTCTCGATATCATATTGATGTCATTCAAGAACCGTTAGAAAGCTAAAGACAACTGATCATATCTATAGAAGACATGTCGACCAAATAACACCAGGATCCAATTTAAAAAGTCGTTGCAAGTCTGTTGCTATTTTGGTATTCCTTTCCAAGGCTTGGTTGTGTGGATCAATTGGAAGCGTTAGTCCATCTTCTTTTGATGTGAGCCTTGTGATGCATGTATCATCCTCCCTCTCTTTAAAAATATTCAACCTCGAATCTGAGACATCAAATGGAGAAACATCAAATATGATTCGTATTATATTTACTGAATAGATAGGCTTTGAATCTTCGAGACTTTGTTCTTCTAATAGGTTCGAGTAGAAACATTAGTCCAAAGAAGCAAGCGTTGTTATCATTATGGACTCTGGTGCATGTATCATTCCCCCTCTCCTCAAAAGGATTCGTCCATGAATCTAAAAATATAAGTGAAAGAGAATTAAATGTGTTGAATGGCAAGTGTAGACAACTCATTTTCCACCATTCTCCATTACCCCTCAATTAAATACCATTTCCCCCACGTGAAATACCACAAATAAATAAACTACCCCATAGTCCCACTCACTCAGAAAATAAAAAATAGACACAACATTAGATATCCACTAAATATATTTTTTTAAACCAAATAAAATCTTAGAAATTAGGTATTCCACCTTATCATCATTCTAGTGGAAAATCCACTACACCACTCAAGATAGCACTAAAAAACCACTGCATCCAAACGAAGCAACTATAAATGGAGGAGTATGGAGCTGCTAAATAGGGGGGATTTTATTTTTTGTTTTTAGGCCAGAGCAGGGAAATCCAAGGTGATTATATATTACTTTTAATTTTCATTTTCTTCATTAGAATGTTTGTCTGTAGCTTGTTGTTATAAAAGGGCATATTCCAATGTCCAGTCCTTAAAAATGTGTATGAATACCTTACGTAGATAATGAATGAATTTGTTTTTATTTTGAGTACCTTCTTTTACCCTAATTTCATATTGATCTTGGTATGATTATGATTCATATTTTTATGATATTTGGAATTTAGTCTTTGGTTTTATTATAATTTTTATTTTAGTACTAGGTTGTCTGTTTATTTTCATTTTTTTTATTTAAAATTTTCATTGGTGCACTGATAGTTATTTGTTTCATTGTTTTGTCTATTAAGTATTTATTAATATTACTTGGTCCTCGTAATTATCAGGTATACCTATTTCCTTTTGTTTACATTTTTTTAAATGACTTCATACTTGTGTTTTAGCCCTTTATTTAAGTATATATATTTTTTATATACATGCGCATCATTATATGTAGGTTATAGTTTTAGGCTTTCCTTGTATAATAAATGTTTTATATATTACATACATATATTTCAATACATGATATATAATAAATATTTTTTGTATATCCCTTTTATGTACTGAATAAATATCTATATACATATAATTTAACACAAAATACATTTTATTCTTCATATATTTATTATGCGAATGTATTTACAAGTATGTAATTAATTTATTTATGATTTGCATGACGTTTTTATGACATGATATCCTCATAGCATTTTTGACTCAAATCAAAATAAACGACTAAGGATAATATTCGATCATTTTAAAATTATCAAAAGAAATTTTGTAATACGTAAATATTTAATCCATTTTTTATAGCATTAAGTATTAATACTAGAACTTATATTTTAAATTTGAGCTCCTAGGTTCCTTAAATTTCATAATTTGAAACTTTAAGTTAGAAAAAGCCTTAATTTATTTTTAGTATAATTATGATTAAATAAAAATTTTGCTTGATTGCATTGTTTTTTTAAAACTTAAGGCACTGTTCACTTATTAAGGAATTAATAGTATATCCTCCGCGATCGTGCTCAGGGGGTGACTACTGGTAATTCCCCAAATAAGTCGACATCCTTTTCAAAACCACATCATGTTTTCTAAAAATGAGGCAATGCTCGGTTATTAGACAAAATAGCTGATCTCCCGTATTTACGCTCGGGGCGAAGGCTATCGGTCTCAATAAACGAATACCCTTTTCAAACTCTGCATCCTTAATGATTTTTAAATTAAATAAAGATCGAACTCAAAATTTCCGATTTTAAATATAAGGTAATTAACTAGGTACCAATTTTTGGGCGCTTATGGGGGTGCTAATCCTTCCCCATGCGTAACTGACTCCCGAACCTGATTTCTAGATTTTCGCAGACCCCAAAACTCGGTATTTTGATAAAAATAAAATGTTTTATAAAAATCACCCGGTTTTTACGGTGTTCCAATCACACCTCAAATGATTGGTGGCGACTCTTCATCTTTCGAAACAATTTTCAAAGAGAAAACCCCATCGGCATCGGTCTTTCCCCTTCTGGGCGAAAAACGGTTACGACAGCTTGGCGACTCCGCTGGGGGACTTTTGTTTTTTAAACAAATTGAGAGTCGAGCCACGAGTTAGTTACCCTATATTTATTATTTGGAAATTACGAGTTCAATCTTGTTTAATTTACGGTTCATTATGTTATTTCAAAAAAAAAAATCTCTGATTAATGCTTACACTTCTGTGAAATATTTAGAATTGTTGCATATCATAGCTCTAAACCCGAGCATAATCCCGGTTTACCTAAGTAGGGAGAAACGTCACACCTCACGAGGAGCATTGGGCTTCCTTGTGTGGGTCTGACAAAGTATCTCTGGAAAACACCCTAAGTTGCGTATCCGGATATCAGTTCCGAGGTACGCTTTTAGTGGTGTGATCCCCTGAGCTGAACCCGATTCGCAAGTCTGTAATGGGCCAGAATTGGGGTTAACCTTATCAGGTTGTAAAAATAGCTTGGGAACATTCGCTAGAACCCAACCTCATATAGAGAATTTAGTAAGTCTACCTCGTTAGAGCCATGTGGATAACCTATGAGAACTATAACGCATGCGGTTAGGACCATAATTTCCTTTGTATGCTTTATTTTTTTAGTCTCAAGTTTAAGTAATATTTAAGATTATATATATTTTTTTACTAATCATTTCAACTAACTTGATTTTTGTTGTCTTGTTTCTACTAACATTGATTTTCTTTTGTATGCTCTTATTGTATTTTTGCATGTATCATTGTCATATCACATCATTTCATAAACGGTATTGATTCACAGATTACCTAGTTATTATAAAAAGAGCTTAAGGCAGCAATGTCTTCCGATAGGACTGAGAATGCAATAAGTGTTCAGACCTGGTTCGAGTATGGGAAGACGCAGTTCAGAGACATCCTTGTCACTACCGAAGAATCAGTTTTGCAAAAGAAGAAAAGAAACGAGCCCTACAACATGCTCGGAAACTGAGAGAGCAAAGAGATGAGGCTAACCAAGAATTAGCACAAAGGCGAGCACAGATTGAACAACTCAAAGCACAGCTGCTTAGCATCGATGAGACTTTTCGGAACCCTTACAACAGTCTCCAAAAAGAAAATGAAATGTTAAAGAAGAAGACAGTTGAGCTAGAAAGATAAGGGTTGATCCACTCATCTGCACAAGAGGTAACCATGCAAGAAAACGAGGCCTTAAAAGCCAAGATTACTGAGTTAGAAGTCATAGTACATAGATGTCATCAGCGAATCCAAGAACTAGAAGAGAGCTGACCATTAACTAATCCAGAGCTTGGAATTGCTCTACGACAAGCTCAGGACACTATTCAAATGCAACATGAAGCAAATGGAGAGAGCAGTGGATCAGGCTCGCGATGTAGCTCGCCAAGTTTATGAATTATCTGAAGAAGCGGTAGCTTTAAGAGTTTTCGTGATTCCAGAATCAGAGGAAGAATGTCGCATCATGGGATTGATGATAGAACTTGAGAGATTAGGGAATACAACAAGATTTTACGTTTAGTATTCATGTCGATATAATCTCTTTGCCTAAGTGCTTAGACGTTGTGTGTTGTTGAGTACTTTTTTATATAAACTAAGTTATTTTGGAATCAATATCGGGTTGCACTTGCATTAGCATTTTCATATGTTTTTTAATTTTTCAAAATCTTAATGATTATATTATAACAATTCATTCATTAAAATTCACCAAATAATAAAATACAATTTCCAATCATTTGTAGTTATTCTGGAATACACCTCACACCCATACGGTACTCGTCAGTCAACCAAGAAAATGGATGACAAGATCGCACAAATTGAAAAAACTCAAGCTGAAATGCAAGAGAATTTAAAGAAAGCGCAAGAGGATATGTGTGAACAGATGATGAAGGCTCAAGATGACATGATGGCAAAGCTGACTAGTTTGCTACAAAGAAATAGTATAATCTGAGAAGAGACTCCAGTTATCGATCATACTACCGAGGAACCATTATATCCCCCTGGTTTCACACCACCACATGTCCACGCACAACAAACTACAACCATCCAACCGAAAAAAATACAACTAAACCTATCTGGCTCTTCTACAAACCCGCAACCAATTGAAGATGTCCCTGATCTGGATGAGGAAGACAAAAAAGAACAGGATAAGGAGATTAAAAAAGAATGGGAACAAATGAAGCATGAATTCCGAGCTATGAAAGAAGATGCTAGCTTATATGGAATTGACGCCAGAGAGCTAAGTCTGGTCCCTGATTTAGTGTTACCACCGAAGTTCAAAGTTCCAGACTTCGAGAAATTTGATGGCACCAGTTGTCCTTCTGCACACATTACCATGTTTTGCAGAAAAATGACAGGCTATGTGGGAAATGATCAGCTATTAATTCATTGTTTTCAAGAGAGTCTGGCAGGCTCAGCAGTTCGTTGGTACAATCAGCTAAGCCGAGCTCAGATTAAATCCTGAAAGGATTTGGCTAAGGCTTTTCTAGAGCAATATAAGCACGTAAAAGATGTGAGGCCGAATCGAATTCTGTTGCAGAGTATGGAAAAAAGATCCAATGAGAGCTTCAGGCAATATGCCCAAAGGTGGAGAGATGTGGCTGTACAAGTTCATCCACCATTAGAGGAGGAAGAAACCAATATGTTTTTTATAAATACTCTGAGGGCCCCGTTCTTTGGACATCTCATTGGAAATTCGTCCAAGAATTTTGCTGACATAGTTAATACAGGAGAAATGATTGAGATGGCGATCAAAAGCGGGAAGCTAGACGGGGGAGAATCTAGCCGAAAGCCTCCAGCAAGAAGGAAGGATAATGAGGTCAGTAATGTGAAGAAATATGATTCTAATAACATTACAGTATCTCGACAACAAGCCACTGTATCGTCAACATTAAATCCTGTCCAGCAAGGGGCGAAAGAACCAAGACAGGAAAGGGAAAGGGTTCAATTTGACCCTATCCCCATGACCTATAAAGAACTATTCCAAATCCTGTATGACAAACATGTGGTGTCACCTTACCACACTTCTCCAATACAGCCTCCTTACCCAAAATGGTTTGACATCAATGCTCAATGTGAGTATCATACAGGGGCATCGGGGCATTCAATTGAAAACTGTCTGGCCTTTAAAAAGTTGGTGCATAGATTAAGACAAAGAAATGTCATCAATTTCGGTGACAGTGAGCAGCCCAATGTGGCTCAGAACCCACTCCCGAATCATGCAGGGACAGGGGTTAATATTGTTATTGAAGAAAAAGGGAACGAAGTCATTACCAAAGTCAAAGAAGTGAAATCATCCATGCATTGGGTATGGGGGCAAATGGTCAAAATAGGCTGGTTGACCTTTAATGCTAACGAAAATAAGCATGCTTGCCCCTACCACTATTGCGAGGATCATGTCATTCAAAAATGTGATGAGTTCAAGGCCTTGGTTCAAAGGCTGATGGATAGTAAAGATATGGAATTTTACCATGAAGCTACGAAAGAGAAAGAGATTGAGATTTGCGCTTCCGAAGGAACATCCAAGGGAGTTTACAATACTAACTGCCCTTTAGTCATCACACCGAAAGCCCAGACTATGGAAAGGTTAATCCCTAAAATAGTGATCACGCCTCCGTCGTCTTTTCCTTATAAGGACAACAAGCAGGTCCCTTTGAGGTATGGATGTCAATTAAAGAATGTTGAGAGTTCAGAGGCTGCTAAGGAAGAGGTGGATGAGGTAGGCCATTTCACCAGAAGTGGGAGATGTTATTCTCCCAACCAGACCAGTGAACCCGAGAAAAGGACGACCGTTGATAAAGGAAAAAGGGTTGAGATATTATTGAAAAATGATGAGCCGACAATTAATGAGCCTGTAACCGAAAATGATGCTGTAGAGTTTTTAAAATTCTTAAAACATAGCGAATATAACATTGTTGAACAATTACACAAATTTCCAGCTCGTATCTCAATCCTAGCTTTACTATTAAGCTCTGAGGCACATCGAAACGTCTTGTTGAAAATCTTGAATCAGACTTTCGTACCGAAAGATGTACCAGTGGAAAAAATAGACCGACTGGTTGTAAATATTCAGGCGGATAACTTCATCTCTTTCTCTGATGACGAGATCCCGTCCGGAATGATGGGCAATCCCAATGCCCTGCACATTACCATCCAATGCAAGGGACATGTGTTATCGCGAGTACTAATTGACAACGGTTCTGCCTTGAATGTGATGCCATTAGTAACCTTGAAGAAAATATCGGTCGATAGTACACACATGAGAAATTGACAAAGCATCGTTCGAGCTTTTGACGGAACAAAGAAGGAAGTTTTAGGGAAGATCGATATTCCTTTAACCATAGGCCCATCAACCTATGAGGTTGAATTCCTTGTAATGGATATAATGCCCTCCTATAACTGTTTGTTAGGAAAGCCTTGGATCCACCAGGCAGGAGTCGTTCCATCTACTCTGCATCAAAAACTCAAATTTGTAATTGAGGGGAGATTGGTATGCCTTAATGCCGAGGAAGATATCATTGCTTCCATATCTACTACCGCTTCATATGTTGAAGTAGATGAAGATGCAGTCGAGTGCTCTTTCAGAGCCCTGGAATTTATTAATGTCACATTTGTTGCTGAAAGAAAGAAAATTCCAAAGCCTAGGCTATCAAACTGTACCAAAATGGGACTGAAAAAGACCCTGGGAAGAGGAGCCAAGGTTAGAAGAGGGCTAGGGAGTCGCTTACAGGGGAATATTAGTCCAGTTTTTCCCGGTTTTAAGCTAGATCGTTTTGGTCTAGGATATCGCCCGACTTTAAAGGAAAAATTGAAAAATGTTCAAAAGAGCCAGGAAAAGAGGAGAGTCAGGTTAGCCAGGGAGGATATTAAGTGGGAGCCTATGATTTTCCCATCGCTGCGTGACACCTTCATATCAAGGGGCCACATGTTTCAGGGGGACTGATCATCTAAAGAGCCTGTTATTGAAAATGCCCTGAGGGATTTGGGTATAAATGTGATATCAGAGGAAGGAATCGAAGACGGAGTGGCTATGGGCATTTACCCCACACCACCAGGCTTTGTGCTAAACAATTGGACTGCAGAAGAATTATCTGTAGTTTACAAAACTATTTCAGAGTAATGCACAAAAACTTTCCCTATTCTCTAAACCCCGGGACAATATGTGATCTTCTGTAAGGGGTTAATCTATCTGTTTTTTTATTTTTAATAAATGATGCATTCCTGTTAATTCACGAAATGGCAAACATCATCTATTGCATTTTTTTATTTTCTGTATTATATATTATTATTTCATTCTATTTTGATATGGGTTAGATCCTCCTGTATTTATATATGTATATATATCCTCTTGTTTGTTATTCTTTCAGGACCTCTGTATCAATAGTATGAATATTGATGACTTTGACCCGAAGATAGATTTCGAGCTGCCCATATGTCAAGGGGAAATTGAAGGTTATGATAATGACGAGGGAAGTGACTTACTTTCTGAACTACTAAAAATGGTAGAGAGAGAAGATAAACAAATTCTGCCTCATGAAGAGCCATTGAAATCTTGAATCTGGGATCAGAGGAAAATAAAAAGGAGATAAAAATTGGCACTATCATATCTGATGAGGAACGACAAAGTCTGATGCTTCGAGAGTACATAGATGTGTTTGCTTGGTCGTATGAGGACATGCCAGGTTTAGACACTGAGTTAGTGGTACATAAATTGCCAATAAAGCCTGAATGTAAACTGGTACAACAAAAGCTCAGAAGGATGCTACCTGAAATGCTGCTTAAAATTAAAGAAGAAGTAAATAAGCAATTTGATGTTGGGTTCCTAAAAGTGGCCAAATATCCAGAATGGGTAGCGAACGTTGTTCCAGTACCAAAGAAAGATGGAAAAGTCCGCATGTGCGTTGATTACAGGGATCTTAATCGGGCCAGTCCGAAAGATAATTTCCCTCTGCCACACATAGACACCCTGGTGGACAATACAGCTGGAAACTTTCTATTTTCATTTATGGATGGGTTTTCAGGTTACAATCAAATAAATATGCATTCAGATGATATGGAAAAGACTACATTTGTCACCATATGGGGCACATTCTGCTATAAGGTGATGCCGTTTGGGCTAAAGAATGCAGGGGCAACCTATCAAAGGGCCATGGTAACACTATTCCACGACATGATGCACAAGGAAATAGAGGTCTATGTCGATGATATGATTGTTAAAGCTAAAACGGAGGAAGAACACATCAAGAATCTGAGGAAACTCTTCCAAAGATTAAGGAGCTGCCAGTTAAAACTCAATCCAAGCAAGTGTACCTTCGGGGTAACATCGGGAAAACTCTTGGGGTTCATTCAAAGCTATTCATAATTTACCACCCCCAAAAAACACAAAAAGAAGTTCGAGGATTTCTGGGAAGATTAAACTACATTGCCCGATTTATTTCGCAATTAACTGAGAAGTGCGATCCCATTTTTCACCTTCTCCGTAAAAATAACCCAGGGGTATGGAATGATGATTGCCAGGGAGATTTTGAAGCAATAAAAGGATATTTGTCGAATGCTCCAGTATTAATGCCACCAATATCCGGCAAACCATTAATCCTCTCCTTATCAATCTTTGAGAATTCAGTGGGGGTGCGTATTAGGGCAACATGATCAAACTGAGAAAAGAGAAAGAGCAATTTACTACCTCATCAAAAAAGTTTACTGATTGCGAGACAAGGTACTCACAAATAGAAAAGTTGTGTTATGCTTAAGTTTGGACTACCCGAAGGCTCAGGCAGTATATGCTATATCACACTACTTGGCTGATATCTAAACTTGATCCTCTGAAATATCTAATGGGTGTACCTTCTTTATCTGGAAGATTGGCTCGTTGGAAAATCTTATTGTCTGAATTTGATATCCAATATGTAAGCCAAAAAGCAGTTAAAGTAAGTATTGTGGCCGATTTCATTGCAAGTAGGGCTTCTGAAGAATATGAGCCACTGAACTTCGATTTTCTAGACGAAGATTTAATGGTTATTTCAACTGAGCAGTTAGTTTCCTTTACTAATGAACAGTGGAAGATGAATTTAGATGGTGCCTCTAATGTTTTAGGGCATGGGATTGGGGCAATTCTCGTCTCACCTTATGGAAAACACTATCCTTTCACCAGCCGATTGAATTTTGATTGCACAAATAACATGGCCGAATATGAAGCATGTATTCTGGGTCTGAAAGCTACCATTGAGCGTAAAGTGAAAATACTCAAAGTATACGGAGATTCAGCCCTGGTAATTTATCAACTCAGAGGTGAATGGGAAACAAAAGATACGAAGTTGGTGGAATACCGAAAGTTAGTCTTAGAGCTCATTAAAGAATTCGAGAGGGTGACATTTCATTATCTCCCCAGAGAAGAGAATCAAATGGCGGATGCTCTGGCCACTTTGGCAGCAGCTTTCAAAGTCAATGAATATTCAAGCATGATGCCTATTACGATGGAAGCTTACGGGTATCCAGCCCATTGCTATAGCATAGAAGAGGAAGAGGATGGAAATCCCTGGTATTATGATATCCTGCAATATATTAAAAATCAAAGCTACCCTAAGCATGCCATTGAGAATGACAAAAGAACTATTCGAAGAATGGCGGCAGGATATGTGCTTGATGGTGATATCTTGTACAAGAAAAGTCATGATCAGGTCTTGTTGCGATGTGTGGATGCCAAAGAAGCCAGAACGATTATTGAAGAAGTTCATGAAGGAGTATGTGGTACTCATGCTAATGGACATACAATGGCTAAACAAATAATGAGATTTGGATATTATTGGTCAACCCTGGAAACTGATTGTATCAATTTCTCCAGAAAATGTCACAAATGCCAGATTCATGGAGATAAGCTCCACACCCCTCCTCATCCATTGCACGTAATGACTGCTCCGTGGCCATTCTCTATGTGGGGCATGGATGTCATTGGGCAAATTTCACCCAAAGCTTCTAATAGCCATCGTTTTATATTCGTGGCAATAGACTACTTCACTAAGTGGGTAGAAGCGGCCTCCTATGCAAATGTCACTCAGTCAACAGTTTGCAAGTTCCTGAAGAGAGAAATTATTTGTCAGTATGGACTACCAGAAAGGATCATCACCGATAATGCCTTGAATTTAAACAATAAGATGATGGAGTCAGTATGTAAACAATTCCAGATTAAATATCATAATTCCACCACTTATCGCCCAAAGATGAATGGAGCGGTAGAGGCAGCTAATAAGAACATCAAGAGGCTCATACAGAAAATGACTGAGACTTATAGAGACTGGCATGAGAAGCAACCATTCGCTCTGTTTTCCTATCGAACTTCAGTGAGGACGTCCACTGGGACAACTCCATTTTCTTTAGTTTATGGTATGGAGGCTGTGTTACCCATTGAGGTCGAGATTCCGTCACTACGAGTGCTGTCAGAGGTTAAGCTAGATGAAGCAGAATGGGTGCAAGCTAGGTATGATCAGTTGAACTTGATTGAGGAAAAAAGATTAAAAGCTATCTGTCATGGACAAATGTACCAGAAACGTATGATAAGGGCACATAATAAAAAGGTTCGTCCACGAGAGTTTCAAGAAGGAGACTTGGTACTAAGAAAGATTTTGTCAATTCAGAAAGATTTTCGAGGTAAATGGATGCCAAATTGGGAAGGACCTTATGTGGTAAAGAAGGCCTTTTCTGGAGGAGCTTTGATCCTCACCGAGATTAATGGACCAGAGTTACCTAACCCTGTGAATGCTGATGCAGTCAAGAAATATTTCGCCTAAAAAATGAAAAAGACTAAAAAATGAAAAATGAAAAAAAAGAAAAGAAAAAAAATAAAAGGATGGTTCAAGATGAAAACCCGTAAAGGACGTCTTGTAATCAGAGAAGGTCTCAGGTTGAAAACCCGTAAAGGGCGGCTTGAGAATTGTGTAAATTCAGAATTCGTGCATGGTGGAGCTGAATTAGTTGGGTAACCAGAAAGTAAATGGGATTCAAACACTGGCTTATGGCATTCAACAGTCGGGAATTTGGCAGTATTGGGGGAACTTCACACCCTTACGCATTACCATAATCCTCAAGATCTCCTTGACAGAAGCTACACTCGGGTCCTCTTACGGCATGCCAGTTCAAAAGCATTCATACTATTGATGTCTGATGACGCCTACTGATTATTCCTTTTAAAAGTTTGTCATGTATTCACCCAAAAAAAACTCTTTATTTATAAATAAAAGATGTTTTTAACCGCATTGTAAGCATCCTGATTAAAAATAAAAAACATGTATATTAGCTCGGGAAATATGAGATCATTGTGCATTATTGTACAAAAAGTTTTGAAAAATACAGATATTCTGAAGCCGAAAATGGTTTTAGCATAAGGCTTACACAATGTCAGGACACAAGAAGTTAAAACCTTGAGATACACGCGATTACTCAACAATGTGGGATAACTAAAGAGGTTTTGTCACTGATTAAATAATGGGTCATGAGAAGCACATGGGTTTAAAGAGTAAAGAGAATCAGAGTCAGGCTCAACCAAAGAGTTTCCAATTAGGATTTTCGATCGAGATGAATTGCTGTTGATTTTTTATGCCCAAATCAATCTGAAGTACAAGGATGTTAACAAAAGAAAGTTCTCGTTTGAAAAGAAAATACCCTCAAAATAACTGCATCATTGCACACATTTTAGGCATAAACAGGATCATGACATGAATTGCATAATAATGAGTACTTGCAGGTTTTCTTAAAAGAAAGGACAGAGATGTAAAGACCAACCATAGAAATCACCAATTCGAATTTCCATGTTTGGTCGTGGCGAGACAAGCTTATACAAAAGAAATCTCTTCCAAAAATTATTATCCCAAGACTTTCAGGTATGATGTTTTCGAATCCTCAAACACATACTAATAAAGGTTAATGTTTAATTTTCAGGTTTGATCCCAA